CAAATGAGGTCAAACTGAGCTAGGGGCCCCACTATATACATAACTACTAACATCAAATGCCCCCAAGATGCTAATGAATTCTTCTAAAAAAAAAGCGCAAAATGTTTTTAAATTCTTATAGAAATGGAAGTTCAGAACTCCCGAGAAGATTCTTTCAAATTTATCCAAAAATAAAACACCAAAGAGCCCAAGATTTTTTAAAATTCTTTTTATTTCACGTTTTTCTAAAGATAAAACACTAGGAACTTCAAGATGTTTTGAAATTTAGTCAGAAACAAAACATCAAATTTCCAAGATTTTTTTAAGTTCTTCTGGAAACAAAAAACCAGGGGTCCCCAGAATTTTTTGATTTTTCTAAAAATAAAAGATCAGAACTTCCAAGAAATTTATATCAAATTACTAACTAGTAACAAAACACTTGAGATTTTTTTAATTTCTTCTAAAAATAAAACACTAGAAACCCCAAAGACTTTCAAATTCCTCGTAAAATAAAACACTACGGACATCTAGCTTTTTCAAAATTTATTCAAAAACAAAACATCAAGTGTCCCGACGATTTTTTCAAATTTGTCTGAAAATAAAACACCAGGAGTCCCCAGAATTTTTCAGATTCTTCTAAAAATGAAATATCAGAAATTCCAAGAAGGTTTTTTCAAATTTATTCAAGAACAAGACACCACAGATCCGAAAATTTCTTTAAATTCTTCTAGTAAGAAAACACCAGAAACCCCAAGATTTTTTAATTTCTTCTAAAAATAAAACACTACGGGACACCAACACATTTTCAAACTCTTCTAAAATTAAAACGTTAGGAATATTTAGATTTTATCAAATTTATTCACAAATAAAACATCGAATGTCTCCAGGATTCTTTCAAATTCTCCTAAAAATAAAACAGGGGGTCCCTGAAAATTTTTTAAATTCTCATAGAATTAAAAAATCAGAACTCCCGAGAAGATCCTTTCAAATTTATCCAAAAACAAAACACCATGGATTTCAAGATTTCTTCGAATTCTTCTAAGAATAAAACACCAAAGAGCCCAAGATTTTTTAGATTTCTTCTTATTTCACATTTTTCTAAAAATAAAACCCAGGACCTTAAAGTTTTTTTGAAATTTAGTCACAATCGAAACATCACATGCCCAAGATTCTTTCAGATTTTTTTAAAAATAAACACTTAAATTTCCAAAATTCCAAAATATAAAACTGAAACATTAAAAATCGAGAAATTTAATAACAGAAACAGAAAAAATTTAAATATCCAAACATTAAAAATGAAATTTGAAAAAAATTCGGATAATTTGAAGTTGGGGAATTGCAATATTGTGGGACTGAAAAATCGAAAATTTCGGGTTCGAATTCTATAAGTGAAAAATCAAAAAATTATAAAGCAAAAATTTAAAAATCGAAAAACCAAATAATCGAAAAATTGAAAAATTTAATAACCCAAAACTACAAAAATTGCAAATTTATAAAATTGAAAAACCAAAAATTGAATAATTGCCTAAGTAAAAAGAAATATCAAAAATTATGTGAATATAGAAAAATTTTAAAAATAAAAATCGAGAAATTGAAAAGTTTTGAAAACGAAAAATTGCAAGATTTTGAAACTGATTAATTAAAACTCTAAAACAGAAATAATTCCAAAATTCAAAAATCAAAAAATTGAAAAACTCCAAAATATAAAACTGAAAGATTAAAAATCGAGAAATTTTATAACAGAAACAGAAAATTATATAATTATCTACATTAAACTCCAAAAATTAAACATTCAAACATTGAAAATGAAATTTGAAAAAAAAATCGGATGATTTGAAATTGAGGAATTGCAATATTGTAGGAGTGAAAAATCGAAAATTTCGAGTTCGAATTCTATAAGTGAAAAAATCAAAAAACTACAAAGCAAAAATTTAAAAATCGAAGAACCAAATAATTGAAAAATTGAAAAATTTAATAATCTAAAACTACAAAAATTGCTAAATTTTAAAACTGAAAAATCAAAAAATTAAAAATCCATAAATTTAAAATTGAGAAGTCAAAAGATCAGAAGATCGAGAAAAAGAAACGTCAAAAAAACTGAAAAGTTTGAAATTTAAAAATTACAAGAATTAAAAAAATTATGTAGTTGAAAAATTGAAAACTTGAGTAATCAAAAAATCCAAAATTTAAACTGGAAAAATGGAATAATCGAAATATAGAAAATAATAAAACTGAAATATCGAAAAATTGATAAAAGGAAGGAAAATTTAAAAATCGAAAAATGGAGAAAAATGAAAAATTGAGAAAACGAAAAATTGAAAAATCAAAAAGTAGAAAACTGAGAAGTCGAAAAATCGAAACGCCAAAACACTGAAAAATCTCAAAATTAAAAATTCGAAAAGCCAAAAAATAGGAATATCGAAGAACTAAAAAATCGAAGAATCTAAAATTTTGAAAAGTTAAAATATCGAAATATCTAAAAATTGAAGCGTCAAAAATTTGAAAATCATGAAATCGAAACAAAAAATTCAAAAAATTGAAACATTCAAAAACCTAAAATTTAAATATAGAAAAATCGAAAAATTAAACAGTTGAAAACCCGGAAAACAGAACAATCGAAAAATTTAAAATAAGAGGTCAGAAAATCGAAAGATCCAGAAAACGAAACGTCAAAAAACTGAAAAATCTAAAATTAAAAAATTCGAAAAATTATAAACACAAATATCAAAGAACCGAAAAATCGAAAAACCGAGAAATTGGAAAATGTCAAAGAGTTGAAAAGTCGAATAATTGTGAAATCGAAATAGGGCAAAATCAAAAATCCGAAAAGTTAAAAATTAACAAAAATCGATAAAGTGAAAAATCCAAAAACGAGATATCAAAAAATTGAAAAACCAAAAAATTAAAAATCCATAAATTTAAACTTGAGAAGTCAAAAAATCAAAAGATCGAGAAAAAAAAAACGTCAAAAAACTGAAAAGTCTAAAATTTAAAAATTACGATAACTAAAAAGTTATGTAGTTGAAAAATTGAAAACTTGAGTAATCGAAGAATCTAAGATTTAAACTGGAAAAATTGAAAAATCCAAATATTGAAAATAATAAAACTGAAATATCGAAATATTAATTAACGGAAGGAAAATTGAAAAATCGAAAAACTGAAAAATCCCAAAAATTAAGAAAAGAAATCGAGAGATCAAAAAATTGAGAAATCGTAAAACCCGAAAATCAAAAGATCGAGAAATGCCGAAATCGAAAAATCCAAAAATGAGAAATCGAAACGGGCCAAATGTAAAAAAAAATTAAAATTATAAAAAATCGAAAAATCGAAACATCGAAATCTCTATAAATCGAGGAAAATGAAGGATTGAAAAAACGAATAATTGAAATATCAAAAAGTGGAAAACTGAGAAGTCGAAAAAATCGAAACGTTAAAACACTGAAAAATCTCAAAATTAAAAATTCGAAAAACCAAAAAATAGAAATATCGAAAAAGTAAAAAATCGAAGAATCTAAAATTTAGAAAAGTTAAAATAGTGAAATATCTAAAAATTGAAGCGTCAAAAATTTTAAAATCATCAAATCGAAACAAAAAATTCGAAAAATTGAAACATTCAAAAACCTAACATTTAAATATAGAAAAATCGAAAAATTAAACAGTTGAAAACCCGGAAAACAGAACAATCGAAAAATTTAAAATAAGAGGTCAAAAAATCGAAAGATCCAGCAATCGAAACGTCAAAAAACGGAAAAATTATAACTAAAAAAATCTAAAATTTAACAATTACAAAAATTAAAAATTATGTAGTTGGAAAATTGAGAACTTGAGTAATCGAAAAATCAGAAATTTTAAAAATTGAAAAATTAAAATATCGAAAAATTTAAAACTCGAGAAATCGAAAAATCTAAAATTTAAACTGGATATATTGAAAATAATAAAACTGAAATATCGAAAAATTGATTAACGGAAGGAAAATTGAAAAATCGAAAAACTGAAAAATCCCAAAATTAAGAAAAGAAATCGCGAGACCAAAAAATTGAAAAATTGAAAAACCAAGAAATCGGAAAAACGAAACACCGAAAAATTCATAAACTGAAATATCGAGAAATCGAAATATCAAAAGATCGAGATATACCGAACTCGAAAAGCCGAAAAATTGAGAAATCGAAAAATCGAGAAATTTAAAAATGCGTAATATTTAAAATTGAAAACTTTAAAAATCGAAAGATTGAGAAATAGAAACGCCAAAGAACTGAAAAATCTACAATCTAAAAATTGCAAAGATTGAAAAGGAAAGATATTATAGAGGTAAAAATTCAAAAATTTTAAAAATTGAAAAATCGAAGAATTGAAGAATCGAAATATTAAAATAAAAAATCAGAAGCTTGAAAACTGGAAGAACAGACGAACTGGATAACTGAACCATCAAAGCTTTAAAAAGTCTAGTCAAATCTAAAAATGGGAAAATCAAAAAATAGATTTCGATTTAGAAACGTCAAAAATTAGAGAATCGAAAATTTAAAAAATTGGAAAATTAACAAATCCAGAAATGAATAAAGGGAAAAATGAAGAAATCGAAAAATCCAAACTGCGAGGCTGTGATCAGTACGTCCAACTTACCCCAAATTTTCCGGTGGTAAAATAAACGCAGAAAGAAGAACCAACAGAAGCATAACGTCAAAAGTATGATCACAAGGAGAGAAGACCAGCAACTTGCGAAATTTTGGGAAATCTAACTATGAGGAAAAACTAAGTGAAAAAATGGTAGGTCAAACCACAAAAAAAAACACCGAAGAACATAAGATTTAAAAATAGATTTTGGCAGACGAGATACTTTCTAAGAGACGAGAGGGTGGGTGGGCGGGGCTAGTACCTGCTAAGATAAGACTGAAATGAAGTTGATGACGTGTGGGATTTTCAGTATTTACAAATTAAGAAGATATCATATTATAAACTGTAACCTATTTTATATTTAACCAATTATCAGCACATGTTATGAGATAACCTCCACTATAAGAAACGTATAAATAAAATGCCGGCAAGACAGTGACTGTATAACCTACAAAGCGACAAAATGGCCACTGACGTTCTAGGTTTACGTCCTTTTGTGATTTTAGGCGTTATATTAGTCGGTCTAGCTAGTGCACCTCGGCCTGTCGTAAGTCCACTTGATTTATTTATGCACACTTACTTACTATTTTCTAGTTGAGTACCGTCTCCACCACCGAACACCCCTACGAAGACCACAGACCCGCCTGGTTTTTCAACCTCACCAAACGCCTAGGAAACCTAGAGTCCCAAAATGCCCAAATCTTGACCACCTTAAACACTGTCACTCAAAAACTTGCCCAACACCCATCCAACTGCCTCGAGGTACAACAACGAGGCCATAATGCATCCGGAGTCTACAACATACAGCCAAAATTTTCACCAAAACCGTTTCCCGTGTACTGCAACATGGAGACACACGGAGGAGGGTGGACCTACTTCATCCACAGGAACAGCGGCCAACTGGATTTTTACTTGAAGTGGAACGACTACAAAATCGGGTTTGGTGACCTGAGAGGGGAACACTGGCTAGGTTTGGAGCACCTGCATCACCTCACTGGCAAGGCTTCCAAACAAACCTAAACACCTGGTAATATTCCAGTTTCAGCTTCTGACGATAACGAAATTTTGGTGGAAATGGCGGACTGGGATGGAGTGAGCGCGTACGCTCTTTATGATGCTTTTTTCGTGGGCTCGGAGGAAACGGGGTACGCTTTGAAAGCTCTGGGTGTCTACTCGGGGGACGCTGGGGACTCCATGGGTGGCTACGCTGGTATGAAATTTACCACGCAAGATAAGGATCAGGATACACGGGTCAAAAGTAACTGCGCGGTCGACGAATGTGGGTGAAAAGCGATTTTTTTTTTTTTTGGTTTTGTTGATGATGGGTTTGTAGATGGAGCTTGGTGGTACATCGCTTGTAGTGGGAGTAATCCGACGTCGAGGTATTTGAAACAGGCGAGGCAAGCCCCCTACATGTATAATATAATGTACTGGTATAGCTTCAGAGGAGCCGACTATAGTCTGAAAATGATGAGAATGATGGTAAGACCTCGAAGAACCTAAGGAGTGTAGCTGCAAGCTCTCAAATAAAGTTTTTTAATAATTTTATTAGAAAATTTTAGATGAAATTTTATTCCGTCAATATACATATTGATTTAAAATTTTTTTCTTTCATTTTATGCCTTTTCGTTCTCTCATTTTTTATTTTTTAATTTCACAATTTTGAAATTTGCAAATCGAAACACTAAAGAATCGAAAGTCTGGACCATTGACAAACAAAAATTAAAAAAGTAAAGATCGGAAAAAGTTATGAATCGAAAAATTGGAAAGAAGAAGGCAACAATGAATCGAAAAATTGGAAAACACGATAATTGTAAAATCGAAAAATTGTGGAATCGTCAAAATTGTGACGTCGAAAAATTGTAACAATGAAACATCGAAAAATTGAAAAGTTGAAAAATTCTAAAGCGCTAAACTTGAAAAAGTAAAAAATTTCGAAAATTACGTTTATAATAGAATATTTAAAATGAAAACTAGAGAAATTGTAACTCAAAAAATTGCAAAATCTAAACTCTGAAACATTCAAAAATAAATTAGAAAATCGAAAAGTTTAAAAATCGAGAAATTGAAAGATCGGAAGATCTAGAAATCGAAAATTTAAACTTAAAAAAACAATAAATCGAAAAATTGAAAAATATAAATATCAAAGTTTCCATAAATCGAGAAAAAATTTAGAACCGGTAAACTGAAAAATTGAAAATTCAAAAATTTTGAAAATTTCAAAAACCGGAAAATTTAAAAGCAAGTGAAGTCAAAAACTTAAAAAATCTAAATACATATTTAGAAATTCGAAAGTCGAAAAATTGGAAAAGTGAAAAATTTAAAAATGAAAATTTGGAGAGTTACATGTCGTAAAACTGAAGAAACCAAAGAAAGAAAATTAAAAATGCAAAGCGAAAAATTGAAGAAACGAAAAATTGAAAAAATTGAAATTGCAAAAACAAAAAATTGTCAAAATAAAGAATATAAAATCCAAAACGAAAAATTCAAGAAATGAAAATTGAAAAGTCGGGAAAATGTAAATCCAAAAATTGCAAAATCTAAACTATGAAACATCCAAAAGTTGGAAAATCGGAAAACTGAAAAATATTAAAATGAAAACTCGGTGAAAAAAATGAAAAACTAAAAAATTGCAAATAGAAAAATTTAAGAAACAAAAAATTTAGGAAGCAAAGAAATTCTAAATCTATGTGCTGAGAAATTTGAAAGTTGGAAAATTGAAAAACTGTAAAGGAAAGAGTCGAAAAAATTAAAATTAGAAAAACAAAATATTGAAATAGGTACTTACTTAAAAAAAAATAAATTGGAAAATCGAAAAGTTTAAAAGTCGTAAAACCGAGAAATCGAAATTGAGAAATAGAAATAGAAATCGAAAAGTAGAGAGGCTGCAAAATCGAAAAATTGAAAAATAGAAATATCAAAGTTTCGATAAATCGAGAAATTGAAGAATTTAGAAACGGTAAACTGAAAAATTGATAATTAACAAATTTTCAAATTTGAAAAATTGAAAAACCGAAAAATTTAAAAGCAAGAAGTCAAAAACTTAAAAAATCTAAATACATATTTAGAAATTCGAATGTTGAAAAATTAGAAAACTGAAAAATTTTAAAATGAAAACTCGGAGAATTACATGTCGTAAGATTGAAGAAACTCAAAAATGAATTAAAAATGCAAATCGAAAAATCGAAGAAACGAAAAATTGAAAAAACAAAAAATTGCAGAAATAAAGAATATAAAAATCCAAAACGAAAAATTCAAGAAATGAAAATTGAAAAATAAACAAAATCGAAGAACTGAAAAATCCAAAAACAAAAGAGTCGAAAAAATTAGAATTAGAAAAACAAAACATTGAAATACTTAAAAAAAAAAAATATTGGAAAAGTGAAAAGTTTAAAAATCGAAACTGAGAAATTGAAACATCGAAAGATCTAGAAATCGAGAAGCTGAGGAGCCGCAAAATCGAAAAAGTGGAAGAAAAATTTAAACTTAAAAAACGATAAATCGAAAAACCGAAAAACCGAAACATCAAAATTTCGATAAATCGAGAATCGAATAATCAAAAAAATTAAAACCAAAAACTGAAGTTGGAAAATAGGAAGGTCAGGAAATCCAGACATCAAAAATTTTAAAAACCGAAAAATCGATACAACGAAGAAACGAAAAGTTAATAAATCCAAGAAAATCGAAAAATTACAAAATCTAAGAAGAAACGAAAAATCGATAAATCAAAAAACCGAAGAGTCGAAAAATTTAAAAATTCGAAAAATCGAGATGTCGCGAAATCTAAAATTCGAAAATTCAAAAATTTTCTAATTAAGGAGTCGAAAAATCGTAAAACTGAGAAATCGAAACCGAGAAATTGAAACATCGTGAAATCGAAAAATCAAAAATTTTAGAAATCGAAACATCGAAATCTAGATAAATTGAGAAATCGTAAAACAGAAATGTCAAAAAAATCAGACATTTTAAATACCCACAAATTGAAAAACCGCAAAATCTTAGACCGAGAAGGATTTCGAAAATCTGAATTTTAAAAATTCGAAAAATTTAAAAATACAAAATATCGAAAAACTCAAAAATAGAAAAATCGAGAGATTGAAAACACGAAGATTTGAAAATTGTAAAATAAAGAATGTTAAAAAATTACAAAACTAAAAACTAAAAAATTTAAAAGTTGGAAAATCGAAAAACCGAGAAATCAAAATTGAAAAATTGAAACGTCCTGAAATCGAAAATCAAAAAATCTAGAAAGATGTCGGGAAGTCGAAAAATCGAAAAAGTGAAAAACCGAAAATTAAAATATCAAAAAATTGAAGAATCGAGAACTTAATCGAGAAATCGAAAAAATTGAAAACTCGAAAAATTTTTAAATTGAAGAACCGAGGTATCGAGAAATCGAAAAATTGAAGAAATGAAAAATTGGAAAATTTGAAATTGCAAAAACAAAATATTATAAAAATAAAGAACATAAAAAGCCAAAAGGAAAAATTGAAAAAATTAAGATTGAAAAATTACAAATTTTAAAAATTAAAAAAGTCAGAAGTTGGAAAATTGAAAACTCGAAAAACAAAATAAAAATAAAAATTGTAAAAGAAAAATTGAAACATGGATAAATAGAGAAATCGGAAAATTGACAAAACGGGAAATCAAAACATCCAAAATTAAAAAAGTTGAAAAAAAATAGAAATTTGAAAAATCGAAATTTCAAAATTTCGATAAATCGAGAAATCGAAAAGTTTCAAAAGGAAAGAAAAAAACCTGAAAAAACAAAAAATTACAAAAGTAGAAAGTATAAAAAAAATATTAAAATTCAATAAATTCAATTCAAAATAAAAATCCAAAATGAAAAATTGCCAGTCGAAACACTGAAGAGACGAAATATCTAAAAGCGAGAAATAAAGATTGAGAAGTCGAAACATCAATAAAGTGATACATCTGAATTTTAAAAATTTGAAAAATTGAAAAATAGAAAAAAATCGAAAAACTGAAGAGTCAAAAAATTTAAAATTCGAAAAACCGTTTTAAATTGGAAAATCGAAAAGTCGAAAAATCGTAAAATCTAGAAATCGAAATTTGGAAATTGAATCATCGTGAAATCGAAAATTCTAAAGAAAATTGGAAACATCGAAAGAGAAAATAGAAATTGGAGTTTCAAGCTTAAAAAACACGAAAAATCGAGAAACCAAAAAATTAGAAAATCAAAAACTTGAAGAACCGAGAAACCTAAAAGGGAGTAGTCGAAAAATCGAAAGAATCGATACATCAAAAAAGTGAAAAATCTAATATTTAAAAATTCGATAATTAAAATTTGTTTATTGCAAAACTCAATAATCGATAAATTGGAAAAACTGAAAAGTCGAAAAATTTTAAAAATCGAAAAATCGAAATGTGGAGAAACCGAAAATTCAAAAAATCGAAAAATTGAAACACAAAAATATCGAAAAGTTAAAAAATCGAAAAACCCAGAATGGAATTGAAAAATTGAAACACCGAGAAATCAGATTGAGAAATCGAAGAATCGACAGAAAATTTAAACTTATTGAATCGATAAATCAAATAATCGAATAAAAATGAAAAAATTTTAAACTAAAAACTTGATAAACGGAAAAATTTTAAAGTGAAAATCTGAAAAATCGAAAAGTCAGAGATTTTAAACACCCAAAAATTGAAAAACCGAAAAATCTAAAAGCGAGACTATATTTCGAAATTTAAAAATTCGAAAAATTGAAAAATAGAAAAAAATCGTAGTGAAGAATAGAAAAAACTGAAAAATCCAAAACTTGAAAAATCGAAAAATCAAAACAACCAAAGATTCGAAAAACCAAGATGTAGCGAAATGTAAAATTCGAAAATGCAAAAAATGGGAATACATTAAAAAATTTTTAATTGTGAAATCCATTGAAATGGAAATTGTAACGAACGTCAAAAGAAATCGAAAAATCGAAAAACTGCAAAATCGAAAATTCGAAAATTTGAAAAATCGGAAAATTGAAAAACCAAGATCGGGAAAGCGGAACATCAAAAAATATTGAAGAACCGATACATCGAGAAATCGAAAAATTACAAATCGAAAGATTGAAGAAACGAAAAATTGCAAAAATTGATTTTGGAGAATCGAAAATCGGGAAGTCGAGAAATCGAAAGATCGAAAAATCCAAACATCAAAAAAGTGAAAAATCTGAAATTAAAAAAAATCGAATATTCAAATATATATCGAAAATCTCAATAATCGTCGAAAAATATATAAAATCGTAAAATCGAGATGTCGAGAAATCGAGAAAATAGAAATAAATATTAAGCATTTTTAAATCGAAAAATCGAAAAGTCAAAAAATCGAAAAACCGAGAAATGGAATTGAAAAATTGAAAAATCAGAAGATTGAGAAATCGAAAAATTGAAAAGTCAAAAAATCAGAAATTTTAAATACCCAAATATTGAAAAACCGAAAAATCTGAGATCAAAAAATTCGAAAAATTGAAAAATGCAAAAAATTGAAAAACTCAGAAATAGAAAAATCGAGAAATCGAGAAAAATGAAGATTGGAAGAATTTTGGAAA